AGGGGGTTAAAGGTATGTTTAGTGAATGTATTAAAAAACCATAAAAAAAAAACAACGTCTGACAAAAAAACACAGAAAGACAAAAGAAAAAAATAAAAGGAAAAATTATAAAAAAAACTTTGATACTTTATGTACAACCCTCACTAAAGTGTTTTTTTTTTGGTTATATTATTGATAATATTTTTTGTGTTTTTTTTTTTGTGGTTTTTCGTGTTTTACTCTTTTTTTGTGGTTTTTTCCTCAACATCTGCTTTTGACCAAGGATATGACAAAAAACAAAGAATAAAAGAATAAAACCAAACTAGAGGAAAACAAGAAATATGAAAAATTTAGATTAATATATTGTTCAAAATAAATGAAAGAAATTTATCCTGACCGTTTTCGTCTATCCAGTAGACCCATATAGCATTGCGACAAACAAGATGGGCAAGAACCGGAGATATGGAAAATGAAAGCTAAATACTAACCAAATGAGATAGTTATAAGGGAAGAAATAAAATATAAAAATATATCAAACGCCAACACCCATACAGGAATCTACTTTTCGTCATGTTAGATATCTTGAAAAACGAAAGCGAATAACAGTGTTCTCAATTTTTGGTTAATTAGATATGTTTGTGTAAATGTTCTTTCACGCAGTTGGCGATGACCTTTTTGAAGGCAGGGGTCTGGTCAAAGAAGTTCTTGCCGGTGGGACGAGGGTCTTTTTGTCAGCCGATGCTCTGGTCACCTTTGGTCGACTCTTCTCCATGATCGTGGCCAAATCACTGGAGCGTCTACTCGTGGGTCCGCTTTTCACTTCACGATCGCTGTCACTAGATATTGTATCGGTCGGCTTCTTCTTAGCCACGCCTTTTTCGGAAGTGGCCTTTTGGGCTGCGAGCGTCGACAACCTGTTCTTTCTGTCCGGAGCAACACCGCTAAGCATGTGATTTAAAACAGACATGTCACGTTTTCTCTGGCTAACAGCGGAACGATTGATCGGACTAGGTTCCTTTTTGGGGGTAATCGTGGAGTCGCGCTTCTTTTTGAGAACATCTTCGACGGTTCCAGGGGTGGAGGACACCCTGGATTTTGGAAGCGATATGGTCTTGCTTCTGGAACTTTGGATCGATGACGTGGAAGCCGAAGATTTCGTTCTGGTCAATGCAACGCGTGGGCTGTCGGAGAGTCTCCTCGATGAGGCGAGTGAAACCTTGTTTCTTAATGGACTCTCAATACCGCTTAAACTGGCGGGCCTGCGCACTCGGGATCCGTTAGCCGTCTCGTCACCACTACTCTCGCCACCACTAATGCTATACATCGAAGACACTCTGGACTTGGGAGTCTTGGAGGCAGACCTTACAGAGGAAGCCGGAGACTTCGTCTGGGCGGGCTTCGGAATGCGAGATTTGATGGTGATCAACTCCTGTTCTTTCGCCTCCATTTTTTCCTTCAATTCCGTGACCTCCTCCTTAAGCTGACGATTCATTTTAACTAGCCTGGCAATTTTAATCTCCTTCTCGGAACTTGAGGTCTTTGACTCTTCTAATTGTTTCTTTATGATGTCAAATTCCTTTTCCAGATCCCCGATCTTCTTCTCATACTCTCTACAGGTCTCAATTTTGGTGTCCAAAACCTTCTTTAAGGCGGTTAGCTTATTGACCTTTGATTCTTGCGGATCTGCTTTCGCGGGACCTTGGGAACTCTCTATGTTTTGTTCAAGTTGCGCAATCTTTTGATCTTTTTCGGTAAGAGCATTGATAAGGTTCTGATAATTTGATCGCATATGGGCATTCTCGTCTTTAAGGGAGGCCATGACTCTGTCCCTCTCACGAGCTTCAGAGGCCTGAACATTTATGGCTTGTCTAAGTTGAGAAATTTCTTGACGGAGGGAAACGACGGATTGCTCCTGTGATTTCAACTTCTCGACACTCTCCGATGAATTACGCAAAGATTCCTTATATTTTCTTTCGAGGTCGGCGAGCATTCTCTCTTTTTGTGACAGCTGTTGGCGCACGTCGTAGACAAGGTCATCCGCTTCTTCGAGACGCTTTTTCAAGGGATCAATCTGAGAAGTTTGCTCTTTCAACTTTTCCACTTTTTTTGACTCGGTGGTCAATTTAGAGGCAAGTAACTCGATCTCATCATCTCTGTCTTTTATGTCGGCGTCGATGTTCTCGAATTGTTGTGTGAGATGGTCGATCATGTAATCTTTCTCACGGAGCTGTCGTAATAGATCTTGTGGCGCATGTTTTTCCCTCAATTCAGCAATAACTTTTTGGGAGGTGTCCAGTCGTATGTTGAGAGATTCGATCAGTGAATCTTTTTCATGAAGCTCGGCCTCTCTTCTCTTGAGGATCTCTAGTTGGGAGGACAAGGAATCAAGGGTCTTCTGTTTATCTTGCCATTCTGATTCGAGGGTTTGATATTTCAAAAGTTGATTGGATATGGCCTCAAACTTTTTTTCTTTTTCTTTTGACTCATTAATACGCCTTGCGGAGTTCTGAATCTTTTTGGTAAGGTCATCGATGATCCTATTTTTTTCCTCGAGTTCTTGTTCAAAGAGTTTAAGAGACTCAGATTGTTCGGGATCCGAGGAATCTGTTCGAGACGTACTGTTGAAGGCTTCGAGTTGCTGTTGTTCGACCAGTTCGGTAATAGCTCTCCTCGAAGCCTCAAGTTGACCTTCCAAACGCTCGATTTCTAGAGATTTCTTTTTGTCGTCCTTCTCACGTTTTCTCAAGGCACGTTCAAGTTCCTCGATCAGTTTGTTCTTACCTCTGAGCTGTTCTTTATACTTTTGCTCCATTGAGTCCAATTGAACGGACAACATCGTGATCTCATTCTCAATCTCACGGTTATTCACGCCAGACTGTTGTGGCCACGAATCGATGCTGTCATCGCTAAGGTAGGAGTCCGCGTCGTTATCACTACTAAGCCCTTCACTTCTAACCTCGTCCGAAAGTCTATCGAGTTTCTTGTTATTTTCACGAACGAAAGAAACAGTTGTGGCTAATACTTCGGCTACGTCAATGTAAGGAGCAACACGAGGGGAGACCGATTGGTTAGAATGGTTAAAACTGACACTCCGCTTCAATTGTTTTTTAGGCTTCTCATCTGATGTGTATTTGTGGGAATGGGTTTGATGGTGCATCTTCTTATCGTAGTTTAATGGTGCAAGTGAGGCAGCCAGCACAGCGGCAGCATCTGCAGTGGTAACAACTTTGGTGGGTGTTAGTGGCATGTAATTGGTGCCTTTCGGCGGTTTTTCATCTGGTGATATAAAGGAATGGCGTCTTGTTCGCGTTGATAATGGTGGTGAGGATTTTTTAGTATAAGACCCCGGTGTCGTTGGTCGGGGCGAATGCGTGCGGGTTATGGTATTATCTGTGAAAAAAAAAAAAGAAACCCCCGAGAGGGAGAAAGAGAAACGAAAGGAATTAAGAATTTTGATTATATACAAAACGGATATATGTACACGTATACGTCGTGCAAATTATTTGGACTTCTCTTCGAGTCCGTGATTAAAGAGAAGCATAAATTTTTCGACTTTTACACATTTACAAAGTAGAAGACTAATTATTCAAATTCGCATGCCTGCTTAGTCTCTCTGCGAAAGGAAAAAAAAAAAAAAAAAAAAAGAAGAATAATAATAATAACAATATCGTTGTTGTTTTTGAACAGGCCGTTGGGATGAAACAAAGAACGCCCTCGGAAAACAGAGATTAGAGCTGAATAAGCCTGCCAATTAAGCCTATTCTATGCAGTGTTTTGAAACTTGAATGTCCGGGAATTGTTTAACTTTTTTTTTTTTTTTTAAGAAGTTTCTCACGAACATTATCAATCACATAAAAGCACCGAATTGTAAAATAAAAATAAAAACTTACCACCGTTCTCGCCATCTACTACCCCTGCTTCTTTACTGGTAAGTTCTGATGGCCGTTCGTTACCGCTAAATCTCAGCATCTGAAAAGGATTTACCTGAGGGGACGTAGACGTTTCGGTTGAGTTCGTGTATTTTGTTGCAACCTACATCGAAATAAGGAAGGAATGAGGAGGAAAAAAAAAAAAAAAAAGGAGGTGCTTACCCAAAAATTGACACTGGCGTCAGACATTGTAGGTTGTTTTCCTGAGAAAAGAGGCGGGCATTCATCAGTCAAATTGAGAGGAGGGGGGTTACTCGCATTACAATCAGACATACCTAACTAGAATATTCTATTGTTTGACTTTGGGTGAATCTTATTTGAGAATAACTGAGTTAATGGTGAACGGTGTAATATCCAAGAAACCACAGTCTGACTGTCAACGCGTTGTTTGTTTGTTAATAACAGGTAGCAAAACCCCTCGCTTTGTCCTGCCTTAAGGTTGTATGGAGTGACGTCAGATATGCAAAGCTTTTTTTATTAAAGTTCTAAGCTTGAGGCTGGGTTTATGATAAGTTTGTGACACTGCACGCGGGATATGATGGGTTGGTCAGTTGCCCAAATGGAGGATGGATCGGATGATTTTCTACTTTTTCAGTTCAAATAAAATCTAATAGACAACTGCGTATTAGACCCTATTTTGATTGTCCGACAAACAAATTTCCTAATGTGGAGTTCCGGGCCTTTTTTTTTTTCAGTTGGGACTTTATTAAAAGGGGCGACAAATATGTAACGACAGTAAAGAGGGTAAGTTTAGGAGAAGAATCGTTTTGTCGTTAAAAAGTAAGGGTAAAATAGTTCGCAAGTAAAATTTTCCCTTTTCTATGCAAGACGCAGAAACACAAATTAATCACTAACTCACTCTTTTTTTCTTTCTTTCCTCCCTTGAATTATTATTATATTAGATTATTACTATTTATAAAAAGGATCCTTCATCAACTTAAAACGTTATATATGATCGTTATATGGAATCTGTGTCGATATTACTACAAAGGCGTACAATCGTTCATCCAATAATAGCTAATAGCTGCCTGCAGACCGTTAAATTTAATTTTCAATAACCGATACGTATTCGGACTTGGCAAGCAAAAAAGGTTTTGATATTTTTTCACTCGTTCCTTTGTCGGCAGTAGTTTTTTGTGCCTTCGGCAAAAAAAAATTGGTATATTAAAAAAGTTATTATTTTATCCGCAAAAGTTAATTTGCGGTGAGACAACCGGACGGTTGTAGTTAAAGTATGAGAAAAGAAAAGAAAAAAAGAGGAGAAAGAAAAGAAAAGAAAAAAAAAAAAAATCAAGGTATAGTGGAATGAGAAGGAAAGTAGGGTGTTATATATATACAGTATATATATATATATATACGTCAATACTTTTTAGAATCAAGAATTATAAATATGGTGACCTCGTTTTCCACTTCCTTCTTTGTCCCCTTTCCTTTTCTTCCATCATCATGAATTTATATAATTTTTTTTTTTTTTTTGTTATTGTTTACATTGGTGCGCTGAACTATGAAAATGAGCCGGAGGGGGTGAAGCGCAAACAGCACACAGAAGATTAGTTGTATGATGAGCAACACTGCCTCAAAGCAAAATCGCCCAATTCCCTGCCAAACTCGGCCAGAGGTAACAGTAAATAAATAAATAGAATGCATAAATCCGGCAAAACTTGGCCAAGAACAGCTAATAATATACAGCACCGAATGATAGTTGCAAAAAAAAGTTTTGTGAAATATGAAATTTGAGTTGTCTAAAATGCAACTCATGAACGACCCCCCAAATCAATCATTGATAATGATAATAAGTAGTAACGCCGTGTTTTTAGTTGTATGTGTTGATGTGTGTTGTGATTGTTGTGTAAATGCGTGTCTTGAGATTATGAGAAAAAAAGAAAAGCACAAATTGAACACTAATAATTTGATTAATCATAAAACGACGATGATGAGGTTTCCTAGATGCTGATGAGAATAAATGGAGTCATGATGATTACACTATATTCATCCTCAAATAAATGAAACTCGCAAGACCACAAGGGAGGAGATACGATGATGATCACCACAAACAATAATAAATCAAAACTTCGATGTTCCTGTTCACCCAGCGACAATTTTGTAAACTATTACCATGATCGTGATCCAATGAGCAGGCACCTATTAATTGCTCTCTCAGGCGCGACCCCCTGCATTCCTTGTAGCTACCACGATTATCATTGCACGAACCAAACTAAATGACCGGCAGTTTGACATCTCACACTCTATGAAATACAATATTTCACGCATGATAGAAACAATAAAAATATCGACGTCTGAAATCGATTCTTTCCTTTTTTCCCCTATAAGTCCATCAATGCACTAGGTCATCATTTGTTAGCAATGTGAGACGATTGCATACAGTATTTTTTTTTTTTTTTCTAATCATGAAACTTAACCTACGATTCCATTGATAAGTAGATAGAATCGCATTCTATGACTAAGCGAAGCCTCGCTCTCTTGTTTATGTGAATCCAGGAATTTTAATTTCAAAAATAGAAAATACACATGAGAAAGAATTTTTCATGTACAAATAAAAGATTGAACCCAATATAGCGAGATTAAATGCAAAGTGCAAATATTTGTTTCTAGAATTGTGTGGTTTTGAATTTTGACTTACAGCAGCTGTATAAAAATTTTGAAATCTGATAATTAAAAAAAAAAAAAAAAAATTTTTTTTTTATAATAAGCATACTGTGTATAACTATAAAAGATTTTATTTATGCATCCTATAAAATCATTCAATTGAACATTTAAAAATATTTAAATTATTGTGACTCTTGCATATTATAGAATATGCCATATACAGTATTTTGTATTTATAATACTGTATATGCCATTTATAATATATAGTACATTTTATATTTATTATATAATATATATTTAATTGAAAAGTTTATTTAAATAAATAAATAGTTAATTAATTGTAATTTTAGTTTAGTTTAATTTAAAATATTATTAAAATTATTTATTTTAAAATTTAATTAATAAACTATTATAAAAAATTTTATTATAATTTAATATCATCTAAACTATAAATAAAATAATAAAATTATCTACATTTTTTATTATACTATTATAGCATATTTTTTATTAAAACTTTAAATAAATATTTATAATTTTATATAAATTTTTATATAATAGTAAACTTTATACTATATTATTAATTGAAAAATTATACTATTTAAAAAATTTAAAATTTTTATTAAATTAATTTGAATTAAATAAAACAAAGTTTAAATCAAGTACGTTAAATTAAATTTGATAAGTGATATTTTACTTTTTTAATAAATTAATATTAGTTCTCTATTTATCATAATCATTATTAATAATTTATTATTATATTATTAAATTAAAAAATGTAAAAAAAAAATAATTTAAAATTTCTTAAAAAATTTTTTATTTAAATAAACAAAATCTTCTTAAAAATTTTTTATTTATTAAAATATCTTTAATTTTAAACTATTTAACAAGCTTATTTATTAAACATTAGAACTATATATAGTTTAAGAAATTTATTATTATAAACTTCTTAATTAAGGATTTTATTTTATATTAAATTAAAGTTAAAGTATATTTATATATTATAAAAAATAATATAATAAATAAATTAGTAAATATATATATATATACTTAAGAAAAAAAAATCTAGTATATATACTATAACTACTTGTTCAATATACGAACTTCAAGAAGAAATATTAAAATATCTTTTTAAATACCCGGTTACTAGAAAACCTAAGAAAGACATATAATAAAAAGTAAACAAAAAGATCTATAAATATATAATAGGAGACAAAAAAATTTGTATTTTTTTTTAAATATATTTAATTTACTTAAATACCTTAAAATTAATATTATTTAAGGTTATTTTATAATCTTTATTATTATTATTTTTTTTTATTTTTATTTTAATTAAAAAATTTTATATTATATACAAATTTTACAAACTAATATATATAAATTTAACTTTTTAAA